ATTTCTTGGCATTAATCAGTGAGTGCCTCTAGTGCTGCACTAATTTGTTGAAAGATTTCAGTTTGTATTCATTAATATTTTATCACGATAAAATTTTACCACTACATTAAAAAAAAATAAAAGCAAAGTACAGCACACTGCCAGTCTACAAGAAAAAATGGGGTGGAATTTTGAAGTGTCTGTTTACCAATAGTTGCAAGACTTTTATGCTTCAGAATAGAGACTCTTGTTTTAGCTTAAGTGTAGTTAATATCTTCATGGCTTTGCTATAAGCTTATTTAAGGAAATGGTAGTTCTGGCTTTATATTTTCATTGAAATGGTATGTTTAAAGTTTAAAACAGAAGTCACTAAGAGGCATTTTTCAATTGAATTCCTGCTTATCACTTATTAAGAATTTTATTAAGTTTATTAATAATAAATAAGAATTCAGTGTGTAATTCCAAATTAAAATCTGTGCTTTCTTCATAAGCGCTGGTCAAGATATCCAGGGAACAAGTGTGATGGCAAATCTTCCATATTTGATGCGACAGAATCCTGGTGAGACACTTCGGAGAGTTTTACCAAAAGTCAGAGTAAGTTGATATGAAATAAGATTTGCAGTTTTCATTATCCTACTCTAGTGTTTTGTCATTGTGGGGATAAAAAAATGCAGAGCTTTTATGCTTGATAATAGAAGAGAAGGAAGTGTTAGGATGTATGTGTACATATTTAAATTATGATGAGGAAACTATTTAGAGAAAGACATGATCTTAAGTCTTAAAGATTTCCTTACTCATTTTAGTAAAGTTAGTTTTTTAATAGCTCAAAAGAAATCTTGCTTTCTTATAGAATCACAGCTATTTTATTTGACGTTCTATTGACATAATCGATGTTCATAGTATCTTAACAGCGTTTTAATGGCATTTACCTGCTGTTCCTAATGAGGCTCCTGTGGAAACGTCTGAAGCATAATCGGTTAAGATTACATTCTGGTCATCCCAGGTTTAGTCTTAAATGTATTTTCCTAAATTTCTACAAAATTGGTTCTCTTGCTATGACCAAAAATGTTGGCTCTAGTAGAACCTCCCCCCAACCCCCACCCCCGCTCTATTTATTAAGGGTCTCCTAAGTGCAAAGTGTTGTCCTTTATAAGAACTTGAGTGGACGACAGTCTGTGTGTCCACAGGGAGCTTCCTTACTACTGGGTCATGGAGTTTGCATACTAATGGGGATTATATGTATACACTAATGGTGAATTTTGTGTTCTCTGTGGTTAAACGTATTTTTTCTGAATTTATAACGTGGCATCAGGATTGGAGGAAGACTCATTAACAACCTGCAATATGCAGATGATACAACCTTGCTTGCTGAAAGGGAAGAGGATTTAAAATATTTACTGATGAAGATCAAAGAGCACAGCCTTCAGTATGGATTGCATCTCAATGTA